TAGAAATGTTTGTGAATCTGAAATAATATTCAAAATGTAAAAAAATCATGAATTTGAAAAGAATATTTACAACTTATAAAACATGTCTTCAAATTTAAAAAAGATCATGAGTTTGGAAGAAATTTTCAAATCTAAAAAAAGTTTGCAAATTTGAAAAACATTCAGGAATTAAAAATATTCATGAATTATATTTTTATGAAAATGAAAAGTTTGAAAAGAAAACCGAAAAAGATGCCAAAGAAACAGATAAAATCAGTAAAGAAAACATTAAAAAAACGATGGGGAAGAAACAAAAGAAAAACTGCAATGGGTTGGACGCTGCAGGGGTATGCGATTGCTTGCCAAAGAAGAAAGAACCGGGGCCCTTTTCTGAATGGAAAAATTAGAACAAGCACACGGTTTGGGTTGGGTCTGCTGGCAAGAGTATAAGGTGGCACACCGGACCTTCCAGAGAGCGCATGAAACCGATGGGGAAAAAAGTGTCGAGAAGCAAGAAAATCTTCAGCGTCTATCTGAAAAAATTCGACATATATTTGTAAAAATACCAACATGCATTTGAAAAAATAGAAATAAAAACAAAAAACGAGAAGAAAACTGATAAACCAATAGAGAAAATCATTGAAGAAAGAAAGGAAAAAGGCAAACAAAATCTTCTAAAACTGCACGGATGGTTCCCAGAAACGCTATGGCTAGTCACCTCTTCTGCTACTGGGATGCAGCCCGCTATGAATCCCTAGACGCGAGTGCTTCTTCAAACTCGCAGGATGTGAGATGTAGGATTTTCAGTTATACGATGCCTTTGGGTGTCTTTCCAAAACAGTCTCGACAAAGGAAAAATAATTAAAAGAAGAAAGAACAAGAAAACTTACGGAATCTCCACAGGGTGCAACCCAGTTGGGTAGAAACCTACTAAATTCATGTTTTTATATTTTATGAACATTTTAAAAAATCATGACTGTTTTTGAATTTCAAGATCATTTTTTCAAACTTACAAACATTTTTTCTAAATTGCATCTTTTATAATTCACGGATATTTATCAAATTCGTGTACATTTTTCAAAATCATGAACCATATTCAAAATTTGAACACTTTTTTACTTTTCAACACTTCTTTTAATTCATGAACATTTCTTGAATTCGTGGACACTTTTCAAATTCATAAACATAGTTCCAAAATCCATGAAATTTTTAAAACTCATGAAATATTTAAAATTAATTATTTTAAAAATTGATAAATATTTTTCAAAATCATGAATACCGTTTAAAGTTCTGAAAATTTCTAAACAAAATAGAATAACCACACGGGTCGACCGTGATAGGGTATGCGATTGCTTGATAAAGAAGAAAGAATCGGGCCTGTTTTGTGAAAAGAAAAAATAGAACATGCACACCGTTTTCTAAAGAGATGGCATGATAATAAAATAACTAGATATGAAAGGAACTAAAAATAAAAGTTTCTAAAGAAAATTCGTCACAAAGAGGATTGAAACCTACAATTTAGTGCTTGCTACATAGAATCCTTATGAAACTTATGGACTAATCTTTATTCTATCACATACCACGTCTTATGGAGTAGTTTTTATGCTATCATGTTTCATAGCCAGTCGTCAACCTGAGAAGGAAGAAAAATGAAGGCACAACGACGCCGACCTGTAATCTAACAGAAAAAAGGGAAGGAAGGGAAATTTTTGAGAAATGGGAGTTAAATCCACAACCTCTCTAATTGTTAAGTGTAGGTGTTGTCAGATTTGTTGGCTCTCTTTGAATCTTGGTAGTTAGTGCGTCTATCAAGGAAAGCAATTGGCCTGATCTTGGTGTGGTGACTTCGACCTCTTCTTTCAAGTTGTTCAGCGGCATGCCCCATTTTGCCCAACCCCGTGGGTTGATGGTGAAGGATTGCAAGCCTGCATTGCGTGCGATGATGCCCCAACCGATATTCCTTGAGCGGGTTACTAGATCTAGTTTCGAGCAGCGGGTGGTTATTCGAGTCTTACAGTTGGCTCAATGCACTTTCAAGCTCCGACGAGCGACCTACAATTGAACGAAGAAGATGATCAATATGGTTTTAGATGTAATTTTATTTCTTTGTTGGTCATTTTGTGTTTTGTTGCCTTTTCATTGTACTATGTATCGTTTTTCCTCGATAGCGTTCAATTATAAGATGCTCTTGGTGTCTTTAAACAAGTAGTTGTTGTCAAAGTAAAAATAAATAAAAGGATATTATTTTTAGATGTTTGTTGATTATAAAAAATATCAGCACATTTTTAAAAGTGTTAACGGATTGGAATATGTATGTTTGAATTAAAACAACATGTTCTAAATTTTTAAAAAATGTTTCTAAATCTAAAGAAAATGCAGGAATTGGAGAAGAAAAATCCCGAAGTTTAATTTTTTATGAATTTAAGAATGGAGAAAATGAGCTTAATAACAACCTCCTACATCGGCTAGATTGTGTTGGTTTCAAATTATAGAATTTGAAAGAATGTTACATGTCAGGTTTCAGACAAATTTATGAACGGGGCGCTATTTTCAATAATCAATTCTCTTAGGAATCTTTGTTTTTAGGGCATTCCAAACCCATAAAATTCCAAAAGATTCCTGACATGACTAATTTTTTTCTTAGGAGTCTACCCCTATTTTTTTTGCTAGATAAACCATAAAAATAGGGGCGCATACCTTAAGGCTTTTACCATCTAATTTAATTAATCAGATGTTTCAAAGCTAGCATACAAACTTGTAGCATTTTCCTCGCCATTTTACAGTCAGGTGTAGAAATTTTCTTGTCACAACATTTAGATAAAAAATATCTTTACTAGAAGTATCAAGCAATTTAATAGTATCAACAAGACTATGATGATTATCATTTTTCGAATCAACTACTCCAAGTTTCTTAGTTATATGAACTAAAGTGCTTTTATCAGTATTCAGAGCAGATGGAACCACATTAGAAGCATCCCCATTACCTGAAATGTTATTATTTGCAGCAACCCTCTATGTGGCCAAAGTATTTTCGTCAGTATCTTCCAAACCCACAAACTATTACTCCTTCTGATCTGTGGGACAGGGGCAGTTGTAGCGGATCTGCCACTTACACAAGATTTCCCAGCAGCAAAGGCATTCACCACTTGAGTGCTAAGGATTATCGGGACCGAGGATCTACTAATACATCTTCTGAAAGCACGGAGAGCTACACCTTCTCCTGACTACCTAGGAAATCCAGATTTTCTTCTTCCAAGTTCGTCTCCACATTCTCCCCAGCACCAACATCAACCTCAACCTCATCTTCTTTGGACTGAATTTCATCAAGCTTTTTCCTAATTTTCAATCTCCTATACCTTGTAAGGATATTTATGTAATTAAAAAAATCTAATATACTTATTTAATAAAATATTACCTTGCATTGGTCTTTTTTTGAGGAATAAAAATGTTTGTTTGCGTGGTGTAAAAAAATGTTTGTACAATCATAAAAATGTTTACATGTATTTCAAGAATATTCGACATGTATTTGTAAGAATGGCAACATCCATTAAAAAAAATAACTAACCAAAAAAATGTAAAACTACAATAAAACCCTCTGCTTGGCCAAAGTAGTTATGTGAGTACCTTCCAAACCCACAAACTATCACTCCTTCTGATCTAAGGCATAGGGGCAGTTGGAGCGGAGCTGCCACTTCCACAAGATTTCAGAGCAGCAAAGGCATTCACCACTTGAGTGCCAAAGGATTCTTGGGACCAAGGATCTTCTACTACATGTTTTAAAACCACAGAGAGTTACGCTTTCTCCTGCCCACCTAGGCAATCCAGATCTTCTTCTTCCAAGTCTTCTCCTCATTCTCCCCAGCACTAGCATCAACCTCCATCTCATATTACTTGGCCTGAATTTCATCAAGTGTTTTGTTTTTCTAATTTTCAAGATCCCACACCCTGTAAGAATATTCATGTAATTAGAAAAAAATTGCTAATATACTTTGTTTATACAAATGTTTTTACATGTATTCTTTTTTGGAAAATGTCAAGGTCCATTCTAGAAAAAAAAGAGAAAAAAGGTAAAAAAAGAAAAGAAAAAGTAACGACATAACAGAACTAAAAAAAGAAATATAATAGAAGGAACAAAAAGAAAACCGGTAAACTAGCACAGACAAATACAAAAAAAGAAGAAGAAAGGGGAATAACCTGGAAGGAACCTTCTGAAGCATCAGAGAAGGTTCGCAAAACTGCTAGAGGCGAGTGCTTCTTCGGTCTCACAAAAGGTGAGATATAACTAGCCTGCCAAATATGTTTTTTAATTAGTGCGGGCGAACATGTGGTTGGATAGTTATAGAAGGATAGAGGCATCCCTAGCTCATCAGGGTTCAAGTCGTGGACTTGACATTGGTCCTCTCGTTATATCTGGACTTATTTCAGGCTTTCAACGAAGTTCGTTCAGTGGGAGGAGACATTCCCGTCGACTGTGAGGCGTGTGTGGTGACTTTGTAAAATATCAAGATGCTATGTCGGCTCAGTCTTTCGGAGGTGCTCATAGGGGCGTGCGTTCATAGGAATATGAGTGTATGCGAGTGACTTCAATTGTACCGTGCTAAAAAAAAAGAAGAAGAAGAAGAAGGAAGATAACCAATAGGGCCGAAATCTCCGTTGAGTGCAAGCCATTAGGGCCGAAACCACCTCCAAGAAAAAGAACGAAGAAGTGCACTGGGCCGGGCCTGCTCGCAAGATTATATAGTCCTGCCCACTTCTTCCCCCACCCACTCTCTCCCCTTCTTTCTTCTCGGCGGAGGCGCAGGCGCAGGCGACAGGAAGCGGCGAACGCGGAACCCTAGCCGCCTCCCACATCCGCAAGGTACGCTCACCAAAACCCACCGAAATCTCCACGGGCGCAACCTGATCGATGGGGTGTGTGTGTGGCGGTACGGCATTGGGGTGCCGACCGGCCGGCGGTGGTGATTCGTTCCGGATTTGTCATCCTAATCCCTCCCTGACCAATTGTTGGCAGGCCGGCGGCGATGGCGGCGATTCGGT